GCCGCCTCCGGCGACAGCGTCACTACTACAGCCGCGGTTTTGGGCGGCTGCAGCTTCCGCGGCCTCTTAGTCGAGGCCGCTGTCACCGGTGGTGAAGGCTGGGCTTGGGCCGCTTTTTGGGCAGCCCTTCTAGCCCGCCTTCGGGACTTCTTTGAGCCCCTCGCCTCCTGCCAACCCTCGTTGGAGGGGGCAGGTGCGGAGGGGCCCGGCAGGGATGTCGGAGTGGGGAGCGGAGGGAAAGCCACTCCGCTCCTCTTCGCCGCTTTACTCTTGGCCGGCACCTGGGCCGGCGCCTTGGCCGGTGCCTGGGCCGGCTTTTGGACTGGCGCCTGGGCCGGTGCCTTGGCCGCTCTCCTCGGCCCCTGGGGAGCCGGTGGTGGAGTCGGGGCCGACGCCGACGCCGCCGCCGCGTACGACACGCGGCCTCCCACAACAGGCAGCGCAGTCGGGGCAGCAGCCTTAGGCCGCTGCGACGACGCGAGCGGGGGGCGCACGACCGGCGCAGGAGGCAGTCTCGCCTCCAGACCGGCTAGACGGCCGTCCAGCATACGCCCAACTGCGTCAAGAATTGACCGCAGTTGGGCGTCAGGCACCCCTGAGGTCGCGGTAGGGACAGGCTGGGGCGTGGACGTGGCCCCCCGCTCGGGGAGGTTCGCCCGGAAGCGGGCGAACTGAGCGCTCAGCCCGTTCACCTGCTCCGTCAGCCTGTCATTGGCCATCTGTAGGCGAGACACGTCGCCTACTAGGCCCTCCACGACCTCCGACATGGCGGAGGAGGAGTCCTTAAGGGCCCTCACAAAAGAGCCCTTTAGGTTAACCGACTTGGTGGCTACCTTCTGTATGATAGCCACCGCCGCTCTCGCCCTCTCCTGCACAGACACGGGAGCCCGGGGGGCATCTCCCTCCACCGGCTCCCGAATTTTGAGCAGGAGACCCGCGATCTCCTCCTCCGCTGCGGCCTCGCCGTCCGCTCGTACCCGTCTATAGGAGTCCGCCTTGGAGAAGGCGGAGCCTGACGGGACGGGGACAGGGGTACGCGACCTCCCTATGCGGCCGCCCTTAGGAGGCCCAGACTCCACGGATGGGTTGTCTTCCCCATCCCTCGAGAGTTCCCTCTTGCGGCTCTCGCTCGGTCCCGCTTCCACTTCCATGCGCTCCGAGCTGTCCGTCCTCTCGCTGGGGCCTTCACCGGCGCCAGTGGTGGCAGATTTGGAGCGTAAGCGCTCCGATCTTCGGCTCCCAGCAGGCAGTCTGGTACAGACTACTACCGGGAGCCCCACCGAGATAGGCGCTCCAGACACTAACTGACTTGTGGGTGTGGACGACAGATCCACTCCACCAGTCTTCTTCACCTCCTTGCTTCCCACCGTTCCTTTTTCCGTTGTGCTTGCCTTTGTCGTCGTTGAAATCGATCCTGATCTTTTAAGTTTTTCGTCATTTCCCATAATTGAACCCACGAGTGGGGGAGAACTAAAGGTCCACCCGGGCAGAGATCCCCCAATACCCGGGCAAGCGTAAATTTATGCCCAACCGAGGGGTCCGCAAGTGCCCCGGCTGGGAGTGCGCTTACGACTGAACTACCCATCAGCCATGCATCCCCTGGCCACGCACCAGAACACGGGATTCGGGGAATTTTTTAGAGAGGTTTACATCCTCGCGGTCCGGGCGGTTAAGCCAAGACCCTCGTCCCCGATCAGAGCCGCGAGACTTGACCACAGCGCTCTTCTCGGGATTACGATATGCCGACGGTGACAAGGAGACTACGTCCCCCTGCCTGCTCGGTGGTAGTGTCAGTACACGCCGAGCCCGTCCTCCTTTCTCCACCGCTAACAGCGGAGAAACTGGCCCCTGTAGGGCCCCACCTTCTGGTTTTTTACCGAGGTTTCCTCCTCCATGCTCCGAAGAGCGAAGAGCCAGCAGGGCAACCGGCAGACACGCCCACCCTGCTGGACCAGGCCTTGCCCGAGAGCCGATGAACGGCTACCTCTTCTGCTAGAATATTGGCCGCTGGCGGTAATCCTCTCCTCCAAGAGGACAAGGAGGGAACAGTACCATCGCCAGCGTTTCCAGGGTGCACCACGAGGAGGTTTTCTAGCCCAGCACCCCGGCCCAACCTAACCTAACCTAACCTAACCCCTATAGCTTTTTGCCTAAAATTGACTTTGGACCTTCACCAAATCGTTTTATTAAGACACTAGTAGCAATTATATACTGTTTTGGCTCATAATATATTGGGAATTTGACATAACCTATATATTGACGCCTATATATTGACTTAAATTTTTCGTTTGTTTACTTAACAATAAATTGTATATCTTTTTTGTTTATTCACATATCTTGATCGTTTTGGTCTCTAAAATTCGGCAACGGCGTCACCTGTACGCGGACACCTCGTTTTCGGGAATTCGCTGTATAGTTTTTTCTAAATTTTTCATTTTTCATCGTAATTCTGTAAAAAAGCTACGAAACGTACCCTTAAGGGCCACCTACCTCTTGTGTTCCGAGTCGTTTGTTGGTTGAAGCTTTTAATATCGCTGCGTCGACACCTCTCCTGCATACCACCACCGTTCGAAGACCCTCCGGCGTCCCGTCGGAGCCCTAACACCTGCGAAAGAAAATTTTCGGCACCAAAATTGTAAATTTTTCAAGTTTTTCGCTAATAATTTGGCAACCCCTCAACTTATTTTCAAAATTATTACATATTTGGATAGGGCTCGTCTAGCCCTATCACACGACACCTCATTTGTTAGAATCCGTCAGATAGAAAATTTAAAAATTGCTATTGCATAGGCTATTTGCGGTATGGCCTTTAGCTCATTCAGCGAATTTTCTTTTATGGCTTCTATCGACTCAAAACGTTTTCCTCGAAGTGGTAATTTTAACTTTGGGGAATAAAAAAAAGTCAGACCGAGCCATATCAGGTGAATACGGTGCTTGGTCGAGAACTTTTGTTGAATTTTTCGCTAAAAACTCTTTCATTATAATGGCTGTGTGTGATGGTGCATTATCATGGTGCAGCATCCATGAGTTGTGTTGCCACAAATCTGGACGTTTTCGGCGGATACTCTCACGCAAACGCTTCATAACGCCTAAATAATATTCTTTATTAACTGTTTCTCCCTCTGGAAGGAATTTGGAGTGAACCACACCACGGTAGTCAAAAAAACTGTCAGCATCACCTTGATTTTGGAGCAACTTTGCCGCGTTTTTTTTGGTTTCGGCTCGTTTTCGAGACGCCATTCTGAAGACTGTTGGCTTGTTTGCATGTCGTACTCATAAACCCATGTCTATTATACGTTTCATAAAGGTCAGATCCGTAGAAGCTCGGGAAACCATGTCTTCAGCGACATGCTTTCGCTGCGCTTTTTGAACAAAATTAAGCTCTTTTGGAACTAGTCGAGCGGCGACGCGTTCATGCCTAAATTGTCAATGAGAATGTTGTGGACGGACTTAAAAGATATGTTCACCTCACTAGCCAACTCTCTCAGACTCATACGTCGATTTTCGAGCACTAGCTTCTTGATTCTGTCGATGTTTTCTTTGGTCGTAGCGGTTGAAGGTCTACCAGAACGAGGCAAGTCTACTACTACTTCTCGGCCTTCTTTAAAAGCCTTATACCATTCATAAGCCCTTGTCTTCGATATACACGATTCGCCGTAGGTATATCGCAACATTTTTAGTGATTCACCACAAGAAATATCATTCGAAACACAAAATTTAAGGCACACTCTTTGTTCAACAATATTTTCCATTGTAAAAATCGCCGAGGACTCAAAACTATCACCAACAAAAAGTGTAGTTTAAAACAAATTAAATGACAGATCCCGAGCAAATTTTGCGCGCTTAATCAGTACAGTGCTACCAACATGCAGTAAAATAATTAGAACGACCTCTTTTACGCGGGTCTTTTTATTGACATATTCCCGATACTTTTTACACAGAGTAGTAAGTTAGTGAAGATAGAAAGAGAGAGAGGTGAGAGCACACATTTTCTTTCTCTCTTTCTCTCATAGCCAAGAAGTTTTACTTCAGTCGTGTGATCTAAAGCATACTCGTTTTTTTTTTTGCAAACAAAGTTAGATACTTGAAAAGAAGTGATATCCATGCTTTAAATGCCAGAAACAGAAATAAACTTATTGTACCGACCTCTAGGCTCCAACCCCTTGGAAATGGGCGGTTGTAGATCGGCACAGGCATATTTATTTTGCCAATATCCAAACAGAAATTGTTATTATTGTGCATGTTGATCTATGACTTTAGAATCTACAGTTTTAAGAGACGATTTCAAACAATGTTAAACCTTTTATGAACTAAAGACCTTTTTATTTTGAGTTTGCGATGTAAGCGCACAAAACATGTTTTTTACGACTTGACATTACAAATCTTTGAAATTCTCAAAATCCTCTACTATAATATGCATGTATTACACAATAAACCCGCCTCATTAATCACTCTCTGTTTTAGTAAAAACCACATTAAAATCCGTGGCGTAGTTTCAAAGAGCTGAGCGTACAAGAAAAAAAAACGATGTTTATATATATATATATATATTTAGATATGTAATGATACAGAAGGTTCACATATATTGTACTTTTTTCAATCATGTTTGTAATCAATTGTTTCAATTTTAAGTATCGTTTAATTTCGTAGTTTTCATATTGGTTAAAGATGTTTTAAGTCTTTTAAAGGTTATGTAATTTGTAAATAAATACGTAATGCAAAAATTATTGATAGTGTAAAATTTTATTTTATGATTTCAAAACATTCGCGTCATGATAGCAGTACGGATGTAACATGAGTGGACGGATGTATGGTTGACTACATAGTATACTTTATATAGTAAGTAGTTCAGGAACTAAAACCGAGGAGTTGATTTATTTGCTTGTGTCAAATATGGTAGTAACTACAAATAGTTGTTGATGTCTCTCCGATGTGGTCCTAAAACGTAGATAGTACAGATGAATTGTCGGGTCAGGTTCGATGATGACAGGGGCCGTGTTTCATCCGAACACTGTGGACACAAACAAGTTTATGTAAGTTATTCGGCAGCTTTAAATACAGATTTACATTAACATATTTAACCAATTTCGAAAATTCTTTTATGATTTTCTGAAATCTATACATTCTGTTCGGTCTCATTTAAATGTGAAAAAATAACATGGGTTGTATTTAAGACTAAGGGTAAAACATTAAGTGGTGAGGGACACAGCTTCTTACAGTCCAGCCTGACAGAACCGCATTGTAGTCGGTGATGCCTACTTTTAAAAAGTGAATATACCCTATATACAAGTATTGCGGTGGCTGGAGCTCATTAATTTAGGCAACTGTTTGTAAGTATATTTTTCCATATGTTTTGACGCAAGTCCTACAGTTACTAGTAATAGCGAATACGTTGAGTGCAACACTTACTGGAGTCTGTGAAGTTAAACCCACCACCGCCGAGGATGGTCCCGAGCGACGAGAGCGCGCTGAGCTGGTGATTGATATGCGACAGAGCCAGGGCGTTCAATGCTGATGTGCCATTTGTCACCGCGCTGAGAAGTAACAACTATATGAGTCAATACCACGAATTAAGAGATTCATTGTATATATCTCCTACTGTACTAAATAATCCGCACAAGCGAGAATGATCAAATAACAACTTCACACATCTCACACGCGTTCGTCAGATCCTAAACTAGGCAGAGCTTGTAGTATAGTAACCAGACTGCTGATGAACATACTTATATGTTTCTAAATACATACACATTATAGATGAATTACACCAGGACACAAACAAATCTAGACGCTAATAAATAATATTAATTTAAATCTTAAGTAATGCCGTTAATGTGCAATGGTGTTTGACGTTTTGATTACGTGTTCGTTCCGTTTTCACTCTTTTACCAGTCACTCGTACTTCGTGTCACATTGGACGCGTGGTCCGGGCTGTAGAAAAGGACAAAATGAATCTTTTATGTGGATACAAAAGTCATGGTTCCGACGCGAACCAAGTCCCGGGCGAAAGCTATTAAACAGCTAGAAAAAATAACTAGGCGACTTTTTTGTATAATTTGTAAGACAAATCAATATACGTACTGAATTGAGAAAAATCTTTTTTTATGGTATAGGTATGCAAATGATTGGTTGCCTGTCGGTGACTACCGTCGCCCATGGACATCTGTACCTCAAGAGTTGCAGACGTGCAGTTAAGTGCGTTGCACTGAGGCCTACATCACAAAATAAACACACCAAGTTGTTGAAGTTGCAACTCTTCATCCAGACTTCACAAAAGGTCTTATTCATCAATACCATCCCTAAGCTAAGGATTCTGGTCAGTGTTGACAGCGAGTGACACTAATTTATTAAAGCCTTAATAGATGATTTGCACAGTCTACATACCTAGGGTTGAACAAGGACAGGAACGAGTTGAAAAACGGGTCGGGTTCGGGCGCGGGCGCTGGCGCTGCAATTCCCAGGCCCCCGTACTGAAACCAGAACAACTCGCCTTACAGTCATACCTTCAATGCAACCGGAATTAAAGATTACATTCAAATTGCGTGAGATGTGTTATTTCAGGAGATAGCTTCATCACCCCCCTCCCTACAACGATGGTCCCATACTCAACACTTTCTCGTTTAGAACTACGTGTAAGGGAGATATTTTAAAATAAATAACTTACTTGTAAAAATATCGGCAGCAGGATAGTTATGAGAAAGACGTAGCGCGACATGTTGTGGTTATGTGGGGCGGTTTTGTTCAGTACTGTGTTGAGTGCGCTGGTGTAGCGGCATGATATACCGGGCGCCCGTTGTGAGCTCATTAGCATCAGAATGGGCCGACGAGTAGAGGTCGGGCTCAAACTGGAGCGTGTAATCGCACCGTTCGCACTGTCATGAGACAACCTCACACGGTCGCTACCTTCACGCTTTGTTTTATGGAAACAATCTTGAGTGCCCCTGGCTTCTTGTAATTAACTTTCAAAGACTGGCTGGTGTCATGCAGTAGGTATATACGTATACTCATGATGAACTAGTAAAAAGTACGTCATTCAAACAGAACAGTTCACGTTTAATATATTTCCATGTTTAAATACCTTTCATAAGGTATCGTACAGTACAGGTAACAAGCGTAATATGGTAAGCGGAATCAAGGTCACACTAGCCTGTGAACATATTATCGCCACAAAAAACGTACATGTAGGCAGTTTTTCCATGTGATCTTCGTTCAGTGGATGAATGAAGACGAGTGCCAGATCATTATTCCACAACGAAATACTCAATAAAGCGGGACACCCAAAGTGTGACCCATCGCCATCATATGATATCAAAACACATTTACTCGTACACTGGTTTGTTACCCGGTATGAACATATAATTATGTACATGATAATTAGATGAAGGTCGAACAAGTAAGTAGTATTACCGGAGAAAGCCTCGACGGCCCTCGCTACTACATACGAGTACATTATACTGTATATTCAGAACTAGAATCATATTTATTTGCAAAAATATTTTGTCAAAACGTGTTATAATGGGCAATGGCTTGCAAACACATCAATTAAAATCTAAAGAATTAATTATGTCAAGCAGAGTAAAAAAATATTATTCTATAACTTTTTTAACCGACTTCAAAAACACAAAGGAGGACGTTATCAAATCTTCATCATTTTTTTCGTGTGTCCGTTACGCGATATCTCCGTCAATAGTGGACCGATTTTCCAAATTATTTTTTGAAAATTCTAGAGGGTGGGATACTCCCGAGGTGGTCCCAGTACCACCAAATCAGGATCTGATGATGGGATGCTAGAGAAATCGAGAGAAACCCTCAAATTATACAGCCATGACAAGGTGTTCTAGCTTTTTTCTCTAGCTATATAGGTATTTGCGTTTAGTAGTCGTTGCTAAGCTGATGATGGAAGGGTCCTTGACCTTTAGGAGTAAGATGATAACTCTTTCAAAAATCTAATCATGTTTTGACTGTGTTTTATTCTTTCAAGATACTTGTTAGGTGTTTGTGTTGGGTTAAGAGATTTGGCTGTGGATTTTGGATTTGTTGGCACAAGAGAGTAATAAATGAGATTACAAAACATTTAGACAAAAAAAACAATTATTTTAATGTTTGTTACCTCAAAACTCTTTCATATGTAAACCAATTTCGTAAATTGTTTTTTTTTTTATTGAAAGAGTATATTTCCTCAAAAAACTACTACTAGGCCACTATTTGTCGATTTCGACATAAATGTCAATTGGTCATGTCAGTTGTTGACAAATAGGTACGCAAAGCTACATTTATATGGAACAAGCTTTTGCTCGTGGCTCTGCCTGCGTGTATGTCGGCCCTTGTGGCCCCAAAAGCAGCCCATGTCCTTTTTCAAGAATCTTAGTATGTTCACGCCACGGTTTAGTGGTTTAGCCGTGAATTTGTAACAGACCGACAGAGTTACTTTCGCATAATTATATAATATAAAAGTAAGGATTAGTAGGGGTTTTGCATTGCTACATAAGTACGCTATTTGTGAAGTAAACTACAAACCTTCCGGTGCCGGTGAAGACCAAATGAACGAATAATCTGTTGCAATAATATAAATGCCGAATGCATTTAATGAAAATATTTATTTTATCCAAACTGTTGACACCGTTTAATGATTCCTTAAACATTGTAGACATTGAATCAGACTAACCCTTGTACAGCGGTACAAGACTAAGGCGAGACTAAGGCGAGGTAAGCGATTACCGCGGACAAGTGCGATCTGGTAACCTACAGACAGTAGTGCATACAGTGAAGGCAGCAGTGGCAGTGGCATGGCAAGCCGCGCCGATTGCAACTTGGTGTTTCCTAGTGAACACCGAGTTGCTTCAGGCGAACACTATCTCGTTGGATAGTGATCCTAACTCCTAAATTCAAACTCAAAACATCTTTATTTCATAAAAAATAAATAAAAAGTATTTGAAATCGTCTTAGACTCTAAAGAATCTAAACGGCCATTTCCAAGAGGTTGAGTCTTATGGCACTCTTTTTTTTAATTACAGCCGGTAACAATCGCATCATTAAATATATCACAACAATGTTTTGATGAGTGCCATGTTTGTTTAAGTCAGTTGTTAAGGACTAAAATGTAAAAGCAATGAATTAAAAAAAAAGATGGAATAGAATTGCTAGTAAAGTAAAACATCATCATCATCAGCCTATCGCAGTCCACTGCTGGACATATGCCTCTCTCATTGCACACCACCAGATCGATTTTGGGCAAAACAAAGTAAAACATAAAAATGAGAAAATAATATAAAAAACACTAGCCCAAACTACATTCCCACTTAAGAAATAGACTTTGCTGAATTAATTCCAAGCATTCTTGTCCTCTAATAATCCTAATCTCCTAACGATCTCTGAGGTCGTGGGATCGATTCCTACCCAGGACAAATAATTATGTGATGAGCACAATCATTTGGTTCTGTGTCTGGATGTAATTTATCTATAATAATGTCTTTAGAAATACATAAGTATATTTATCAGCGGTCTGGTTACCATAGTACCGGCTCTGCCTTATTTGGGATCAGACTGCCGTGCTGTGAAATTTCTCAGTTATTATTACTATTTTCTTTGAGCTCTTTACAGTAACAATACAGAAATAATGTCTGAGTCATTTAATCAAGTAAAACTTTAAATAAGACAAGACGTTAGCAAAATACAATGCAGATTAACATTGAGGGTGCAGCAGTGGATGCGGCTATGTGTGTATGTACTGGTGGTGGTATAGTTGGTAGTGGCTGGGCACGACGTCACCTCACTGGGTATACTCTATTTATCCAATCGCTGGAAAAAAAATATGGAATTGGTACAACTCTTAACAAGTTGCAGCAACCGCTGCTTAATGGTAATTTTATGTTATACTTTTCATCGAGGCCTGCGCTATTAATTTTGCCGTTTAGTACACATTTTACAGACAAACGAAGATTTATCTAAAAGGAGCTAAAGCTCTATGCGTGCAAATAGTGGGTAAAATTATTCCGTTTATTTATTAAACGAAATACATCTCACTAATTAACAAAGAAATCTAATAGCGTATAAATGCTACACCTGTAAATTAGGGAGATAGATTCCCTCACAGGTCGTGATAGGTTTTCGGGGTATAAAGGAGCTATTTAAAATCATCACATTTTCTACTAGTTAATATGCAGCTATCTCCATTGTAGCTGTAGTTTAATATCTATTTGTTTCGAATAAAAAGCAGTATAAAAGTGAACTCCCAGTTAAGAAAAGTAGAATTTCAACAGTATTTAATGAAGGGTTTTCTAGATAATTATGTCTCGATGAGGTGTCACATCATCATCACACATCAACAGCCTTTAATAGTCCACTGCTGAACATAAGCCAACCCTTAAAAAGGAGGTTTTGGCCTACTGCGATGAGGTGTAATATACGCCAAAGTTATTTACCAGTGACGTTGGTAATGATGGCGGCTAAATCCGACAGGACCGAGAGAGCTGTGAGCTTAGCCTGCAGGTGTGACAGCGCCAGGGTGGACAGGAGCGACGTTGAGTTGCTACTGTAAACAGACTAGAATATTTTTGTTTAAATATGGGGGTACTTTTGCAACATAGGGTAGAAACTACTACTAGGGCTGGCGGTGCTACGGCTTAAAGCCAAAAAAACCGCCCTGGGACTCGATGGCATTCCAGGCCGAGCGTGGGTCCTGGCCCTAGATGACATAGCTCTCGAGCCCTGACTGAGAAGGCTCTTTAGCGCATGCCTTGTCTTCCGAAATAGTGGAAGACCGGGAAACTGGTCCTCATCACCCCTCATGAGAGAATGTCATTGTAAGGCGCCTCGTCAAACACCTCTTTAGGGTGGGGCCAATTCTACTACAACTAGTTAACAGTATGGTTTCCATTAGGGGCGCTCCAACGTGGATGCGATCATGCGCGTGAAGGCTCTGGCGTAGGAAGCAGTTTCCCGAGTCGAAGTGGTGTCGTTTTAGATAGAGATCTCCGCCGCATAGTCGGAGATCTCCGCGTAGTTATATGTCGGAGCCGTCAAGTAGGACCGGTCTCAGTCGTCGTGAAATATCGTGCGGTGTTCCGTAGGATTCGGTGTTAGGGTCGCTCCTGTGGAACATCGGCTATGACTGGATGCTTCGCGGTGCCTTCTTAGATCGTATCGTTGTCACGTGTTATCTCCTCGTGGAGGAGTGGAAGGAACTACTTCGGCAACCAAGCGCCGGGCACGCCATTATTGCGGCGGTAAGACCCGTTATGAAGGATTAGCTCGAGACACATCGAGGGACCCCCTTATACCGGCTGATACAGGTGATCACCGGGAAAGGATGCTTCGGGGATCACCTGTGTCCACAGGGAGCCAACGCTTGGGTGTCACCACTGCTATGGCCGCACCGTGGACGCGGCTCTCCACACAGTGGCAGAATGCCCGGCGTGGGTTGAGCAGAGGCGTGGCTCCTTCGGAACTTCGCTGTCTCCTTCTGTAAGCAAGTTATGCTTGCGAAGTAGACGGCCGAGCGGGACCGGGAGGGATTTAGAACTCTTCTTTTTTGTTCTGTAAATCTAACAATAATCATTTAATAATTCGTATATCATGGGTAAAGTTGTCTATCTATGTGTTGCTTGGCTTACAAAACCACTTATTCTTGGATAGTGGTATTTTGTTGTAAAATAGATGGTACGCACCAGCGTACCATCTATTTGTTTCGAATATTATATTATATACCAATATAATATAATATTATATAGCCAGCTATAAATATTAAATTTTGCGTTCAATTGTTATTATTCACTACACAATCTTAATGTCAATAGTCACATGTGCAGATCTTTTTTGAAACGTTATTCAACTGTGGTGGAAGTATGTTATCGAGAGTATTGTAAAATAAATTAAAACAATAATCATAAGCTTTAGGATCGATGCAATATGTAATGGTCCTTGGCAATGTAATCGTAAGAAGAGAGTTTACTGTTGTGAGCCGTTCAGAGAGTAGGGTATTGAAAGTATTTGGAAGAACCAATTTTCTTAATAATAATGATACTTGGTTAGTTTAGCATCGTTAAACTTACGTTCTCTGTTCTTAGGACGCTATATAGACTAATCGGCGCGAGAGCTTTCAAAGCGTGGTGTAGGATAAGTGTGTCGGTGTTTCTTCCTTAGATGTTATGCAAGTACGTAGACTTGTTGTATGCGTCAATACAGTGTTTTAAATTTCCTATGTATAGTCTAAATCATCGAGGCGGTTACACTCGAAACTTAGTAAAATATTACCCACCCTATGTTATGTACGAGTAATATTTTTCTTTGAGCTACCCAGTTAAGTGCCGTCGCGTATTGAGAAATGTTTCGGTGAATCAGCGTGATAGTTTAATAGCAATGAATCACCATAGCGTATAGCATAAACCAATGAAGTGACCAACATAATTGTTATTTTGCTTAGTCGATTACTATTAGTTTTGGGTGTTCCTAATGAACGCTTCTGAATGTCGTGTAGAGCAAGTGAATTAGCCCGCTTACGTCAGAGCGCCGTCGGCTGCGTACCGTTAGTTAGTTGGACAAGCCATAACGAGAAGTATAATGTGTTTAGTTTGTGCGAACACAATCGCAGTCAATGTCACTCGTCGTATTGTGTCGCGCTCTCGACACCTGAAGGCTGCGAGGTGACGACGCACTCTTTTATTGTTAGCGCTGTTAAGTATTACGTGTATTGTGTCTTTGTCACTCCGCTGGCTGTGGTATCACCACGATGATCCCAGTCCGGGGTCTTAAACACCTAGTGCCGTCTACTGCTACAGAGTCATAGTTGCTGTCGGTGCCTGACGGTGTACATTGTACCTATTATATTTGCAACAGTGATAATAAGTATCTTTAACAACTTTATTTAAAATATATATTAACTAGCGATCCGGCCGGCTTCGCGCCGTAATTAATTATACTATTATTATGATAAGGCTACAGGACATCTTTTTAACACGTTTTTATTAGCTTGGTATGTATGTATCTATTTATGTATGTAACGAAATCTTCGAACGTGATCTTGACCTACTTCAAAACGTCGAATTACATTGAAACGTGGCACACTAATCAAGGACCGATGGCAATAAAATAATTCGAAATTTGGCCTCTTTTCCTCATCAGGATCTTCAGGACTAACGGCTTTTCTGTACCTAAAACTACGGTGGTGTTTTTTGCTACGTACCAAGATACGTGTGCCGAAGCATACGTGGATTACTTACTTGTTGCTTTTTTAGTCTTAACTAGCTGAGACCCGCGGTGTTACCCGCGTTTGTTGTTATAACCGCGGGCAACGCCGCGGGGCGAAGCTAGTCCAAATAAAGTAGCCTAAGTTACTCCTTATGTCATCAGCTATCTGCCAGTGAAAGTCCCGTCGAAATCGATTCAGCCGTTCCAGAGATTACCCGGAACAAACAGACAGACAGACAAAAATTGTTAAAAATGTTATTTTGGCATATGTACCGTGTAAACATACATATGCATTTAGTAAAAAGCGGTTACTTTAATATTACAAACAGACACTCCAATTTTATTGATTTGTATAGATAGGTAAGTTATAGTTTTAGATTTAATTGTTACAAAAAGTCGCTCATTTTTTAATAATATAAATAATTCATTTTATTGTTTTTAGGTAGGGAGTTTTTGTTTGATGTGTGTTTTTAACCGACTTCAAAAAAAGGAGGACGTTCTCAATTCGACTGTATTTTTTTTTTTTTATGTTTGTTACCTTAGAACTTTTGACTAGGTGAACCGATTTTGATGATTCTTTTTTTATTTGAAAGCTGGTGCTTCCCGTGTGGTCCCATTTCAATTAGGTTTAGTTCTGATAATGGCATCCATGAGAAAACCATATAAGTCTTAAATTTGCATTTAGTATGTTAGCGACAAATAGACGAATAACTCAATTTCACGCAAACCGATTTCGATAATACTTTTTTTATTGGAATGGATGTACTTTAAGGGTACTTTGATGAGAGTTTGGTTAGATTCTGATGGTGGGATCCACGACAAAGTAACGGAACTCTTCAATTCTTAGGAGCAAATTAACGATACTCGGCTGAATCTTTTATGGGCTATGTGGATATTTGAGTCACCTACAGTAACGTCGTTATGGTCAAGTAATTGTCGTCATCAACAGCCTTTAATAAGCTACTGCTGGACATAGGCTTCTCCTTAGAAAAGAGGTTTTGGCCTACTATACCACGCTGGCCAGACGCGTTGGTATAGGGTTTATTTCAAGTTTTCCTTCTCTTTGCAGTGCTGTTGTCCTGCGTAGTTTGCTCCCTCACTAGACTCTTACGGCACCAATGTGATTAAAAGGGGTGGTGACATTCTGTATTCTTAATCCGTCATCACAGGGTAGATTGCCTCTGTTGATATAGGCGTTTCTTCCTGACTCCCTTTGTTTCATTCAAACGGCGCTGTCTCATTTGAGCAGCACGTTTATTAGGTCTACCCATATTCAGACAAATTAGTAAGTGTACTTCAGATTCACTAAAAAGCAAAAAATAAACAAAAATTTTTAACAAAAAAAAACCGACTTCAAAAACACTATTCCAAAACAAATTAATATGCACTAAAAAGGAAAAAAATAAATGCATATTCTTCTACAACTTAATAATCAACTTACTTTTTCTACTCATCTATATGTAGGTACGATCTATGTGTTAACCGCGCAGGAAGGTAGGTAGGTACCTACCCATTTCAAATCTAATTTAACATATATTATACCTGTGAATAACAAACAACGATCAAAATATTTTTTTGAGTTCTCCTAAGTAAAATAAAATGAATATAATGTAGTTACAATTATTGTTATTTTTGGAGTCGGTGTCAGCCAAGGAAACACTACGATATACCTAGCAATAATAATACGAGAATACTTTAAGACTCGTCAACTCGCGCGTGCGACACAAGCACTTCTCACTTATAAGGTGTAGGTAACACCGACTTGGCTGACACCGACTGCAAAAATAACAATAATTGTAACTACGTTATATTCATTTTATTTTACTTAGGAGAACTCAAATAAATATTTTGATCGTTGTTTGTTATTCACAGGTATATGTTAAATTAGATTTGAAATGGGTAGGTACCTACCTACCTTCCTGCGCGGTTAACACATAGATCGTACCTACATATAGATGAGTAGAAAAAGTAAGTTGATTATTAAGTTGTAGAAGAATATGCACTTATTTTTTTCCTTTTTAGTGCATATTAATTTGTTTTGGAATAGTGTTTTTTGAAGTCGGTTTTTTTTTGTTAAAAATTTTTGTTTATTGTTTTTGTCGACGCCAACGCTTGTCCCCCCCCCCCATTTTAAATATCTAAGAACTACTAAGATATTTATTTTAATAATATGCTGTGAAACGCAATTTTGATCTAAATTAAATCCACAACATGCCTAACGTATTTATGTGAATAAAGAACGTTACTGTATTGTTCAAAATAGCTTCGTAAATTACTCATTTTTTTTGTAATACGTAAAAATAAAAATGGTTACTGTTGGTTATCCTTAGGAGATAGACATAATAATATACTATTCCTGACTTTTTTGTAGATCTTTTCAAGATGTATATTCCGTAGTACATTATTTTAATCTACCTCGTAAAGTTTAGCTAGCGTTTGCCCTGTAAGCTCACAAAAACATGTTTGGTACTACTTCACATTACAATCTTTGAAATTCTCGGATTTCCTCTACTTTAATATGCATGTATTATATATATAAATGCCTGCCTCTTGAATCATTGTCTCTATTGGTAAAAAAATGCATTAAAATCTGTTGCGTACTTTGGAAGATCTCAGCGTACCAGAAAAAAAACGACTTCATTTTATACTATATAAAGATGTCTAATAATTATAAAGAACACTTTCGCGATATCTAATTTAATCTAACTGTACTTTTTATACGCAACTACAAATATTAAGTTCCTGACCAGGAAATACTTATAACATACTAGCGATACGCCGCGGCTTCGCACGGGTGCACTGTAGATATCACTAACGTGGTGTCAGTGTGGCGTAATTAATTATACTATTATAATGATAAGACTATACTACAGGACATCTTTATAATGCAATATTTAAAGGTCGGCTCTGCTCCTACCGGCTTGTGGACCAGAGACGGACGCGGGGCAATGGGAGGATGTTTTTTTTTACGAGCCATTCACTCTATTGAAGAAAACCGCATTAAAGATCTAAGTGTACAAGAGAAAAAAAACACTACATTTTATCCTATGTAACGCTATGATGCGCACGATAAGTACAATAGTGGATAACTATTTCTTGTAAATAGTAAATTGTACTTATCCTCCTCAAATTTACAGAGCTTGGACTTGTAAGAAAACGGCCTTTAAGAAAGCGAACAAGTAAGAGTTAGGTATTCACTTGTCTGAAGATAGTTTGTCCATATCGAGAAACGATTCTCGAAGGTTGTTGAATGAGTGTTTTGCCGTAAGACAAATTTAACTTTACCATTTTAAAATAAAGCCCTATGTACCGATGTACTTACGTCACAGTTAATACTCCAAGCACAAACATATTAATGAAATGAACATATTAATGACGTTTTATGGTTTTTTCTATACTTGTGCCTTGAGACCGTTTTTAACGTGTCGAAAGGGTTCACCCTATTACCTGACCGAGGCTCACGGTGTGGTACTTCTAAAGTGGTATGTTGTAAGCGAACCGACTGTTACCACACGTGCTCTGTGAAATATGAGTCTATTACAAGGGACTCGGGTATACCCTAGAAAGGAAATTCCTGGCAGACCTTGCCCTTAGACAATCGCTCCATTGCATGCAGAGATCACATCACCGTCTTAGGTCTCTGCTTATACTAGGGTAACGGCCAGCCTTATCATATATAAACAAATTTTCATGATAGTCGTTAACTTGTAATCTTTAAAATTATTCGCAAAGTTGCCGTTGCAACAGAGAGGGTGTTACAAAGGTGCTTTTTTAAGTTCGCTAAATAGTGGGGATTGAGCGTGGCAGGGGCGCTCTCCCAACGTATTCAGTGACTAATCATTAGAATATTTACTGTCGTCAATGAAGCAACTCAGTCTGGAAGAAATTATAAACTATAAAGAAAAAATATTTTGTGATGTCATAACGGTTTGTACCAAGCAAGGAAATATGTTGAAATCATATTGGTAGAGAACATCTGTTTACATTAACTCCTGTCAAGGAAAGTCGACTATACAAGTGGCATAACCTTTTTAAACAGGTTAACAAATCTGACCTGAGGCCACAACTCCAGATCTAAAAAAAAATACACTAATTAATAGTGGAGGATGTACGTTTGAAGAAAAAACAACTCCCAGAAATGTTTGAGTATCAAAGGTATTTCTATAACCTGGAAATACAATGCTTCAATTTTAGACCCGTTTAAAGAGGCCATCAGAGAGAAAATTATACAAAGGTGTCCTGCTTTTGCACGACAATACTCCCAAGAGTCGAGTGGCGTTGGCTGCTTTGCATTAGGTGAGCTTCGATATCACTGATCGCCTACCTTTTTAGCCCAGACTTGGCTCCCGACTGTTGTCTCTCTAAATCTGAAAACATGACTTCGAGGATAAAAAAGTGAAAGATGCAGTTCCAGTGTAGTTTTTAGAAAGAATACATTTTTTTATGTAGGTATTCACAAGTTATTTATAAGAAATTTATTAGGGTTACAGATGAATATATTGAAAAAGAAAAATAATTTTGTAATGTTATTTAATTGCCTTTTATTCCATTGTGAGGACTTTAAACGCACCCTCGTGTTTCTTTGCATGGTATATGTTTCGTTTAGGCAACAGGTATTTTTATAGGTTTTCAATAGCCTACTATATAAAGCCCTAGATTTGGATAGTAAGCATTGTGCGCGGGAAGTAAGTTCGCGAGTATCGAGAGTTGGGTGCGCGACGTGCTGATCCCCTTTGTGCGTTGGTCGGAGTAGCTGTGAGCAGTGAGGGGGAGGTTGCAGCAGGGGTGCGGGGGTGGAACGCGCCGACAGTTCCGTCGCGGCGCTCCAGAGACGCGGACGCGCATTTTAGTGTGTGCGTGTGTTTAGTGTAGCTACGCTCCGCGCCCCGACATCGGTGAGTGTCAACCTGAATTTAAAGTCTAACAACTCACTGCACGTCACTTAAACACATGTTTATTTTACAAAATAATAATATTCGCAGAAAAATTATTACTGTACACAATAATAAAATTATAAACACTAAATAAGAAATAACTAAATTATAAATGTTGCAAGCTGTCTTGACTGCTTGAGTTGAGATTGAGTGTTAAATAGACTCGATGACTATACAATACATAACCGCTGTCTTTCATGACACTGTATTCTTGCGGACTGGTGCTCATAAACGTTGGCTAATGATCTGCCATGGGTCGTCCACTTTATAAGTTAGGTAGGTATACCTCGCTAAAAAGGTTTTATGTAAATTTCAATTTAAACTGATTCCATATACCTGTTGTTATTTACACCGAAGGCTGTATCAGTGCAAGCGTAAACCTAACAATCGTGTACGTCAGAGGCTGGAGTGAAAATAAATGTTAGTCCTAGCTACATAGGGTTACCATTTTATTTTTTAACTAGTCTACTGCTGGACATATGCCTCTCCTAAGAAAGGAGGTAATGATACAGTTGTCCATAAATATAATAAGCACGTGCTACGATGATCCGATACAAAAACAACTTTATTTAACCAAATCGAATCGAATTAAATAAATTCAGGCCTTCGTCTAAATTTAACTCCTTTGTTTTGATGAATCCCGGTATTAATGAAGTATTAAACATTATATCTGGTTTAAAACACAATTCTGCTGGCTAACCTGTGCTGGAGGTAACATGGCTGGGATAATGTTTTAAATAATATACTTAAAAGTCTTGAACATTTAATTGCTCCCTCCTTATATATACCAAGTATTTTTTAGAGAAAGGTGTATTCCCTAGGTCGCTTAAAAAGCAGTAGTGACGCCTGTATTTAAATCAGGAGATAAAATATGTGTAAATAGCTACAGACCAATCTCAGTATTATCGGGACTTTCGAAAATTTTAGAGAAACTTATAAACAATAGGTTGATAAAATACCTTGAAGGCAACAACTTGCTTTCCCATAACCAATGCGGCTTTAGGCAAAAAAGATCGACTAATCAAGCAGTACACCACTTAACAAACTACATAGCTGATTGTCTGGATGGGGAATGCAATGCCTTAGGGATTTTCCTATACCTCGCCAAAGCTTTCGATAGTATATCTTGCTGTATACTTTTGAATGAGCTCGAAGCACTTGGGATACGGTGAACACAACTTCGCTTATTTTCAGATTACCTTAGTGATCGCCATCAATGTGTGAAACTTGAACAATATTTAAATACTGAAGCAAAGAATACTGGCCATGTTTCTCCCAGGGCAGTGTTCTGGGCTGTACCTTGTTCCTGGTTTATATAAATGACCTCTGCGGCCTGAAGATACTAAGTGGTGTCATAATATCTTTTGCGGATGACACAGTTTTATTATTTACAGAGAAATCTTGTATTGAGGTTTTTGAGCTCGCTCAGACAGGCTTTAATAAAGTGACTAACTGGCTAAAATACAGATAAAACAAAATACATTATATTTTCAATGGGGGGTACAAACATACCTATTGTTAATTCAAAGATATACGCACATCCTTGCAAAACATCTGTCGACTTTGCGTGTACCTGCCCTGCTTTAGCAAAACTCCAATTATATGAAACATTTTGATGTCATCCTTGACCAACATTTGAATTTCCGCAAACACGTTCATTTATTATGCACAAGGGTACGAAAATTGATATATATATTTAAGGGTCTTCGCAGTGTAGCCGATTACACATTATTAAGGCAAGTGTATTTATCGTTGTGTCAATCAAAACTTACTTATTGCATTACTTCATGGGATGGTGCAGCAAAGTCACTGCCTTTAGAGCGCGCTCAAAAGCCATTCTTAAGGTGGCGACATCCCGCACATTCATATTTCCCACACACGAGCTTTACAGGGCATGAAATGTACTAACAGTCATTTATATTGCACAGCATTCTAAAACAGCATACTGAACTTCCCTATAACCCCATACCATCAAATAAGATTAGTAAGGACAGTACATAGTGTGTAGCAGGCCTCAAGCTAGTCATGCATTTGTTCATAGATTTTATACATTTTTAGGACCTTTACTGTACAATAAAAGTAATAGGATACTTAATATAGCCTCTATAATAAAAAATGTGTATTCATCTAATCAGAATACTTAGGTAAATTTAACTATGAAGACACAGAAAATGTACTGGAAATGGTTAAATGAGTCTTAAATAGTTTTTGTTTATTATTATTTTCTATTATTTGCTTTCGTACACTTTGTAGTATTTTTATCTTTTCTATTGATCTGTTATGTTTATCTTACATTTCTACCCAATTAATAATTAGTTTGTCATTAGATGTCAAGCGATCGCCTGAAGCACAGATTTACCCTAGTTTAGGCAGGCAGCGACTACAGTTTTGAACTAAATATGTGTAAAAAATCATATACGACTCATACAACCATAAGAATGAAATACGCTAGTGTAACTTAGTCTAATTATTGTCTAAGATCAATTTTAAACCGAAAAGTCCTACACTGTAATATATATCTCGGTCAAATAAATGATTATTATTATATTATTAAATAATCTTTGTGAGTGGATTTCACTAATAATGATTTTTATTAGATTTCTATTTACATAATTATTATACGCATCCAGGCAAATGATTACTATCAAGGGATAACAGGTATCCGAATGGATAGAAGAAATAAACTCTAACTCAAATATCTTTATTTGATAAAAAACACAAAAAAGTGATATCGTCTCTTCTCTAAAGTCATAGATCAACACTCACAATAGCAACAATCTCTGTTTTTTTAAATATTTGGCAAACTAAATATATACGTATCGAAAATCTCTTATATGCCTGCCGGTCTACAACCGCCCATTTCCAAGGGGTTGAGCATCATGAGAAGAAAGGGAAAACAAACTCACGGCCACTCTTTTCAATAAACAGATAACAATGGCATCAATAAATATACACAACATTGTTTTGATGTGTGCCAGTATGTAAGTTTGAAGGACTTAAAGGTAAAAAGGCAATGAAGAGAAAACAAGATATAGAAAAAGATGGAATAAAATAGAAAATGAAGTAAAACATAAAAAAATGGCAAATTAAATAAAAGACACAATAGCCCATATCACATTTCCACCACGAAATAGCCTGTGCTAAATCAATTCCAAGCATTCTTGTCTTCTATGTAATCCACAATTGAGTAATAGGCTTTATAATAATAATAATAATAAATAAATTTATTTATTTCAGACATTAGTCCATAGATATGTTAGTAACAGTAATCTTACAACTATGTTAGTTCTACATTAACACAAAACAAATTAAAAAATAAATCGTGGGGATGCGCTAGCATGCAGACGCATCCACCTTTGTAGGATTGGAAGATCCCACCTCTCGGACAATACTCTCAGGACATAGACATTTATAACATAGTTTTACGTTTTATTGTGGTTTTAGATTTGTTTGTAATAAAATATTTTATTCTGTATAGGATTTTATGATAGAATCGGACACATTGACCTCGAAATGACTTGTTCATCTTTTGGAGCTTAGAGTCAGGTAAAGCAAGTTCTATTTCTCGTATTAAAAGCATGTACATCACTTCTTTTCAAAAAGCCATCTTTGTTTTACATTATGCTATGAAAATAACTGAAGTAAACAAGTCGTGATGTATCAATAACAGTCAATTTTCGATTTTGCTGCGTACTGGACTGCGTACGCTGCTGATTTGAGTCTACTTGATAATTTATCTATACGTGGTCCCCACTGTAGCTTAGAATCTAATGTTATTATTAAAAAAATATCGTTGTATCTACAAGGTTTAGCTCGACAGCCTTAATCATCACGGTGGTTTTCACTGGCTTGAATTTTGGCGTGGTGAACCGTATACACTTCGTTTTTTTTTCATTAAAAAGTTAATTGTTAACGTCAAACCAATGAAACACTTGCGAAATGGCCCTGTTTGTTCTGTGAAATTAGTAAGTATGCGTTTGAGTCTAAATAACAGTGGTGTATCATCTGCAAACAACACATTCTCGTGAATATCCTTGACAAGGTGAAGTAAGTCGTTAATATATAAATAAACTAAAAACATAATGGGCCTATAATAGAACCTTGTGGAACGCCCATTTCTACCACAGACCCCAGAGATCGCTCAATGGTAATATTAACTTTTCCAGTGCTTCCACTGCTTTAGTTTTAACACCATAGTGTTGTAATTTCCTGATCAGCGTTTCCTGAACAACACAATCAAAAGATTTAGAAAAATCGCAAATGATACCTAGAGAAGCGTGGCATCCTCCCAGGCATCAAATATATTTTTTATAAGCTCAACACTAGCATAGTTGTTAAGCGACCCCTAGTAAAACAAATTGTCTTTTGTCTAATAAATTATTATTATTAAAATAACTTCCTAATTGATCATACATTTTGTTTTACATCATACAATACTTGACTTTTCTGATAGGTTAATATTAAAGTCAGCACAAATGATGACCTTCTTTTTTTGATTTTGTTACTTTAACTAAGAGTTCATCCATAACATGTTCAAAACAATCATACGTAGCTGAATGGGTCGGGAAACACATACTACTATGAAACCTTTTAATTCTATACAGGCTATTTCAGTAGTTCGCTCAACTGATAGACTAACAATGTCATGGAGCTCTTTAAACTTAAGTTTCTTATTTATGAGTATCATTGTGCCACCATGTATTGCTGTACCTCTGCTGAACGAGCTGCCTACCTGGTGGTCATCAAAATAGAATATGAACTGATCTTGTTTAAGCCAATGTTCAGTAATACAAAAAATATCAATTGCATTGCAGTTCATTAACAATTCCAACCCCAAGTCTCTGCCCATCATTACTAACTACTAGAAATTACTAGTATTCCCGTTAACCCCTTCCGCTAAGCTAAATTGCTTGTGTTAGGAGTGGTGTTTAGGGGTTCACGTCGGTAGATCGCAAGTCTAA